CGCGGATTTGCGGCAAACTTTTCGACTGCTCCGTCCCCCTTGTCGCCGGTTCCCTCCACCGACGGGTCTTCTTTAAAAGAAGATGACACCGCTTTCCGACAGCTTTGGACAAGCTGTTTGCCGTGTGCAGCTCTGGCACCGCTCTGAATTGGCTCCTCAGCCCCGTTTGTTCTCCCGATTAAAAAGGGAGGGAGAAAATTTAAACCACCTATATGGGCGGAACAGAAAAAGCAGCGTGATGTTTGAAAATTACTTCTGGCCGGTCCCCACTAATTGTATATGTTCTTCCAGCTCAGATACCCCGACTCAGAACTGGTTTTTACAAGATTGAATTTCAAGGATAAATTCAAGTCTTTCTGCTGCTGTTTAAAAAAAAAGCCTTGGTGTTTTCCCGGCACGGTTGCTGCCATCCCCACATGCTGAATGCACTAGAAGTAGCCTGAAGTGATGTTATAAGTAGGACAGGTTACTCTTGGAAAACTTGCACATTACAGTCTGTAGCAAGTGCATGCACCTGCTCAAGAGCTAATGTAGCGCCAAGCACAGAAGTAGAGAATTTTTTTTGCAAGCTTTTTGTTTAAAAAGTGCTAAAATTATGGGAGAAATATGGCCTTTTGTTTATAACTTGCTCCACGTAATCAGCTGAAGGTATTCTGCCTTGAATGGACAGGTGACCCTCCTTTGCAGTTCTGAGAACAAGGTGTTTTTCTTAACAATTAATTTTCTTAATTAATATTTACTGCTCAGTGGTTTGGGAGCTGTCATGCTGCATTGGCACTGGTTAATTGCAGGAGGTGCAGCCTCTGTGCCAGGGCACCTCGTTGGCAGCAGCTGCCTTATACATGCAGATTTCTTACTGAGGCAGAGAAAGCAGCTTTTTCCCAGGAGCGCAGAGTGACCAGAGCCCAGGTCCTTCCAAGGGTGGTGTTTGCCATCTGCCGTGTTGGGTTTGTCGCCCCACCACTGAAGCATCGCCCACCCTCACTCCTCCTCTCCTGGGGTCCCTTGTTTAAGCCTCGCAAGGGGGGATGCTGCCCCTCTGCTGGTAGTGAAGTTTTGGAGCGCAGGGCAGTTGCACATTGCATGCCCCGTGCTTTTTCCTTAAAGCCAGGGCTGAAGCGCAGAGCAGCTGGATGCCGGTCCCTGGGGCTGCGGGGTGGCAGAGCCCCTGTGGCTCCTGCCTGGTTTCTGCCTGGCTGTCCCCCTGCCCTGAGGGGTGACAGCAGCCAGAGGGGGCTGGTGCTGGGGAGGGATGGGTGCAGCACTGGTGTTCGGCCACCCTGTGCTCCTGAGCCCTGCGCAGAGATCCTGCCCAAAAAGTATCTCCCTCCAGCACTGTTCAAACAGAGCATTCTCTCACCTAATTTTGCTAGTAGGGCATACTGGGGACATGGTCTGGTGAGATGTGGAGCGGTGGCTGATGTGGACCATGACCAAGGGGAGTAACCCACTCTCCCTCGAGGCCTGAGCTGTGGGCTTTCTTCCCTGCTAATAACTTTGAAGATGCTTTTGGAAACTCCAGCTGCTGGTTTTTGCAGCCCTTTTCATCTTCCCTGTGTAAAAAGCTCGGCTGCTCACACAGCTCTCAGTGCTCACCCTGCACTGACCTGTGCTGGGGGGAGGTGGGCTTGGCTGGGGTGAGGGGGAGCCTTCTGCCGGGGCTGCTGAGGTTTGTCCTTGGTCCCCAGTGACAACGTTTTCCTTGCTGTTGCAGTGCCCATCTATGTGCCGTTCCTTATTGTTGGATCTGTATTTGTCGCCTTCATCATCTTGGGGTCGCTGGTGGCAGCTTGCTGCTGCAGATGCCTGCGGCCCAAGCAGGAGCCCCAGCAGAGCCGAGCCCCTGGGGGCACCCGCCTGATGGAGACGATCCCCATGATCCCGAGTGCCAGTACCTCCCGCGGCTCCTCCTCCCGCCAGTCCAGCACTGCCGCCAGCTCCAGCTCCAGTGCCAACTCGGGGGCCAGAGCCCCTCCAACCAGGTCCCAGACCAACTGCTGTTTGCCAGAAGGGACCATGAATAACGTCTATGTCAACATGCCAACGAACTTTTCAGTGCTGAACTGCCAGCAGGCTACCCAGATCGTGCCGCACCAGGGACAGTACCTGCACCCCCAGTATGTGGGCTACGCGGTGCAGCACGACCCGATGCCACTCACCCCGGTGCCCCCCTTCCTCGACGGTTTGCAGAGCGGCTACAGGCAGATCCAGTCTCCCTACCCGCACCCCGCCAGCGAACAGAAGATGTACCCAGCTGTGACTGTGTAGCACTGATGCCTTCCTCCCCGTCCCGACCCAATGGATTTTAATATCTAAAGTGAACGGAGAAGAAATACTTCCTCGGAATGAAGCTACCAGAACATCACTTGTAAATAATTTTGAAAGGCTCATGCATGTCAGACTGTTTATAAACCATTTATTTTCATTGGGGTCCGTTGCCAGAAACTGTAGGATGATATCTCTGAATTAATGTTGCCAGATACGCTCTCATTCCAGTGCATGATTTACAGCGGTGGAGGATTACGCTGAAAATGCACATGCATTTCAGATCACTGTACTTGCGAGATAAATGCCGGAGCCATTAAGTGCCCTTCAGGTATGACATGGTCAAAAGTAATTACCTAATTAATTTGTAGAAAGAGTTTTGTTACTGTACAAGACCGCAGTACTTAAGAAACCTCTTTTCTCCTCTCCCAGCTCCTTAATGACATTTCCCGGTTGTTTACAGACAATCACAACTGAGAGCCGAACAGTGCAATCCCTGCGTGCTGGGTGCTGCTACCAACCCCCAACGTTTCTTATGCGCCCCCAGTTGGGGGTGAAATGCCACGAAAGGCTTAGTCTTGCAAAGACCAATTTCTCTGTTCCTGGTATTTATGTAGGAATTAGAAGAGTGTGAGTTATTTGGCTCTTCCTTTCAGTGCACTTGAAACCCTTCTCGATTTGGTTTTGCCTCAAGATCAGGACCTGGCAGTGGTTTGCACAGACTTGGTTTATCTCTGTGAACTTCTTACTAAAAACAGGGTACAAGGTGCTTGCTCCTCCTGACGCTCAGCAAAGCTTTTGGTACAGCCGGCAGCAGCTGAGCTGAAACTGCTTTTGCAGAGGAAGGTTGTACGGTGACGCCAAACACGCCTGATTTAACCTCACTTCCCATGAAACAATAAACCCGTGTGAGTGTGCACAAAGTTGTCAGACCCAAGCTCAGACACCAGGAATGTGGGCTTTGTCCCCCCACCAGCCTGCTCTGAGTCCCCAGCCCTGCTCCATGGGGGTCACACAGAGTTGCCCCACCCTGGGGCACAGAGGGGCTGGCAGGGGTGTGAAACCCATCCCCTTTTCTTCTTTTCTCATGGGGCAGAGGAGTAGGAGGGCACAGTTGTATTTAAAACCAAGGTAAAAGGCCCAACCAAAGGATGAAGGTGCTTGCAGCTCCCTGTGATGCCACAGGGTCAGGGAGGAAGCATGATGCGCGGGGTGACACTTTACACTGGAGCTGTGGCTCTGTCTAGCTTTGCTTGTCTGGGGAAAAAAAAAATGCCTCTCCAAGTTGAAGAGGCAACAGTACCCTGGGAGTAATCAGACCATGCTAATTGCAGTGTATCACCCTGGATGCAACAAACCGAGCTGCTTAGGGCTGGTTTTGTCTCTTAAACAACGTAGTCTCTGCGTTTCCATAGATTTGTTCCTCAGCCAAAATACAGCAACAGAGGGCTAAGGGCACATGCTGAAACCGGGCAATTACTGTAATCAAACCAGAGCTGATAAAAGGTTTCTTATTGTCTGATACTGTATCAATATGTAGCAATAACTGTGACACTACTATTTTCTGTATGTCTGGTTTTAATACATGTGGAAGCGTTGCCAAATGCGATGGTTTACTTGTAACTGTGCCACACACACAGGCCGTCTGCAGCCGGCAGAAACGGTCTGACCACTGACATACGAAAATGAATAGGGAATTTATCCCAGATCTGCCGTTCCTGGCTGCCATCACCCCATTCAGCATGGAGGACCTGGACAGAAAGATCGGGACAGGGCTTCCCGTCCAGCCAGGCTGGGCAGCTCTGGCTGTGGGGGCGACAGGTGATGGCCCCTGGGGGGGGGGGAGTCTTTTACAGGCACCTGGCACACCCGAGCTGGGGGCTCCCAGGCTTTTGAAGGACCCGATGCACACTCGAGTCTCATGGAGAATTGGGTTCCTGCCTTCCCAAATTTAGTTTGAGACAAGCAAAGCTGCTCAGTCACTCTGACCTTGCAAAGTGGGGGCCCGGATGCCTTTGGTTGCCAGTAGCATCAGCAGGAGCTGGAGGTGCTCTGCCTGGGCCATGGCTACATGGTTGGACAAGCAGCCCATCTGCGTCTACATAATATTTCCCACCTGTGAACCAAGTCGGCTCTCACCCCACGAGCGCGCTCTGCCTGCCTTGCACGTGGCCTGGCAAGGACACCACCTCTGACCTACGAATTTCAGGTGAATCTCTTTGTATATTGTTTACTTGTTAAAAAAAGAATAAGTTAAATTTAAGTCTGTAGAAATTAATTTACAATGGAAGGCAGAGAAACCTGAGTTGTAATAAAAGGCAGTTTGTGAGATGTGTTTTTTTTTAATGTCATGTACAATAATGTAAAACCAATGGTACCATTTGATATAGCTTTTAAATCTCTGAAAAGGCACTTGATTTAAAGTGTTTCTTACAAATGAAGAAAAAAAAAAGCCCCTTTTGTTTCTTAATAAATACTTTATGGTGTGACTTTGTATTTCTTTGCTTTGTTACAGTTTTATTTTCTTCAGTTAATGCTTTACTTTGTCTACAAGAGCACATCTGACCAGCCCAGTTCTCCAGCCTCTGTCAGAAAGCAAACTTAGGATTTTTGGTTGTGTTTTTAAAGACTCAGCAACTTAAGGTGGCTGAACACTCTGCCTTGGGGGGGACATATCTGAGGGGGCATGTTTGGGGGGGGAGGGGAGCAGGGAGAGGGTGAGTTGGGGAGCCCTCACTCCCCAGGTGAGTTGGGGAGCTCTTGTGTCCCAGCGGCCGCAGGCACAGTGCAGGTCAGCAGCAGGAGCGGGATGGGCAGAACCTGTGGCCCCAGCAGGCTCCTTCTTTCCAAATGATCCCAAATACTCTGCAGCAAATGGTGTTTTCAGAGGATTTGGGTTTCAGTTGGGTTCATGGTTACCAGCTAAGCCTTTCGAGCATGTAACTCTCAGTAAGCGGCCATGCTGTTCCCACCTTCCTCTGCATGGGGACCCTTCTCACTTGAGCAAACTCTGTCCTTGTAAGTGAGACAAAAACCAACTCCGCTCTCAAGTGCTGCCAATGAACGCGCATCTGTTCCATAGGAGAGCCAGTCTTCACCCTTTCTTTTTCTTTTTTAATGTAAGAGCATAAAAAAATCAGAGGATTAAAAAAAAAAATGCAGCCACACTTCTAAACCTGCTGCATAGCCTGTAAATACATTTTTAGCCTTATATGGCTGTAAGAAGCCATGGAACCACTCCTGAAGTCACTTCACCCACCCTGCAGCCCTGGGCGCGTGCTCCCCGTGGGGCTCTCTGCGGTGGGTCCTGCAGCTCAGTGCAGATGACTCATGGCTCAGGAAACTGGCCCTGAGAGGCCGTATGCCTTTTTTTGCTTGTGCAATTTCATCCCATTACTCATCTCCATCTTCTCAGACTGCCCTAAACAATTCCTCTTTTTTTCCTGCTGTTTACACCCTTTAAATTTATGTTCTCGCTCACTTGCAGTTTAAAGGGCTTTTTCAGGGCCTGTTTCTGAATACTTTGTTACCTATTAAAGGCAGTGAAGGGTTCGGTACTTTGCTGTTGCAGGGATGGTGTGCACAGTGAGCCATAACAGTAGCGGGGGAGAAGCCGGCAAGGTGCATACGGGCTGAGCTGGCGCTGGTTTGCCTGCAGCACACCCCGACATGCTGCTGGTGTCCTCACCAGGGGAACTGCGGGCATGGAGGTGCCCCCCAAGGCAGCTGTAGGCGATCCCGCTGTGCTCGGACAGCGCTGACCCAAGGCTGTGCCTGTGCCCACTGGCGCGGGCTCAGAGCAAGACGGGACCCTGGCTGACCCACGGTGCCCAATCCACCGAGCCAGGCGGGGGAACAGCATGAAACCATCACCAGCGACATGACCCTCCTCCCCCCAACCCCACACCCCACACATGGAGAACCACTTTGAAATGTCTTACCTATTAGCTGGGCATGATCAGAGGACAAAGCCTGTTCCTCCCCGTTAGCAGGAGGTTTGCGTGTCCCCGTACAACTGTTACCAGCCCTCACCACATGTATGGGGGAAAGCGGAGCTTGGTGCACTTAGAGCCCGTTGCTTAAATGTGGCCCATAATGCCCACAGGAGAGTGAGCCAGGGTTTGCGTCCCAACTCTGCACATTAACCTCAGCACCTCCCTTTCAAAATATCTAATTTGCTGTTCACTTTGGGTCTTGCCAGAGCTCTTCTTTCCCCTCCAGATTTTCTGCTTTCTCATTCTTTTCCTCCCACTGAAGTTGTTACTAAATATTATTCCCCACATGTATTCCCTTGTATTTTTCCAAGCTGAATCTCATTTTATTGTTTCCTGCTCATATTTCTTGCTTCTCTGTAGGTCCCTTTGTATTATTTCTCTGTCCTCAGTGGGGTTTGCAATATTTCCTGCCCAGGATCACTTGCAAATGTACTGAACAAATCATTTAAGCCTGCACCATCCTTTTTCCCCTTCCCCATCCACACTGAATAGAGCCAGTTCTGTGGGACCTTTCCCTCCCTGAGGGTTCACAAAATCCCCTGTGCTGTAGCAGAGCATTTAATCCCTGTGACAGTATTTCTCTGCAACCTGAATGGCCAGATAACACTGGCCACTGGTTCTGTAAGAGCCTCCTGTGCCTGGGCAGCAGGGAGATGCCCACCACGCTGGACCACATGGCACAAAATATCAGCATGGTCTTCGCCTGTGGGCTGAAGCCAGCCCCAGGCACAGCTGCCCCACTCCTCCAGAGCCACCACTACAGCCCTGGTGCAGGGCTGGCCTCTCTCTTGCCCTGCTGCAGAGACACGCTTTCCTGTCCTGACACTTAATAATCTTTTAATTTGCCCACAGAAATGCTGTTGTATTTGCTTGGCTCAATTTGTTCTTTACAAACAAATTCTTTGTTTGTTCTTTGCAAAATCTCAGCACACTGACCCCAGGCTTTTTTCCCACCTGGATCATGACCCTGCACCTCTTGCCTTCTCCAGTTTCTCCACGCTGGCTTGTTCACAATGTTTTCTCTGGGCCTCGTGTCTTTTCACCGGGTATCACTGTGGTGGCTGCTGAGGTAGACGTCTCATGAGGGCAGCTGCACTGGATGAGGGCATCTGGGGCAGCTGGTTAATGAGCAGAGGCACAGCTTCATTAGGAGAATACATGCCCATTTAACATCAAAGGTGATGTCTTCCTGGTTTTACAAACTGGGAGAGCAAGGCCCCAAACATTTCACTAGGCAGGGCTGAAAAGTTGCTAGATGTGTCAGAGGCCAAGTATCTGCTTAATCCCTGATTTTCATTAGAAGAGAAGAGAGAAACCTCTCTGGAGTGTAACGTGAATCATAGT